CACTGGGACACAGAGCAGCTCCTTCCCTGCTGCCCTCCTGCCCCTGAGACACTGAGCGGATCCTTCCCTACCCCTGGAACATGGAGCAGCTCCTTCTCTCCTCCTGGGACACAGAGGAGCTCCTTCCCTGTCCCTGAGACATGGAGCAGCTCCTTCTCTCCTTCCCTGCTGCCCTCCTGCCCCTGAGACACTGAGCAACTCCTTCCCTACCCCTGGAACATGGAGCAGCTCCTTCCCTGCTGTCTCTCTGCCCCTGGAACATGGAGCAGCTCCTTCTCTCCTCCTGGGACACAGAGCAGCTCCTTCCCTGCCCCTGAAACATGGAGCAGATCCTTTCCTGCAGCCTCCCTGGCCCTGGAACATGGAGCAGCTCCTTCCCTCCTTTCCCTGCTGCCTTTCTGCCCCTGGGACATGGAGCATCTTCTTCCCTAACACTGGGACACGAGGCAGCTCCTTTTCTGTCCCTAGGACATGGAGCAGCTCCTTTCCTGCCCCTGGAACACAGAGCAGCTCCTTCCCTGCTCCTGGAACACGGGGCAGCTCCTTCCCTGCCCCTGGAACATGGAGCAGATCCTTTCCTGCAGCCTTCCTGGCCCTGGAACACGGGGCAGCTCCTTCCCTGCCCCTGGGACATGGGGCAGCCTCTTCCCTAACACTGGGACAAGAGGCAGCTCCTTTTCTATCCCTAGGACATGGAGCAGCTCCTTTCCTGCCCCTGGAACACAGAGCTGCTCCTTTCCTGCTGCTCTTCTGCCCCTGGAACATGGAGCAGCTCCTTCCCTGCTCCTGAGAGATGGAGCAGCTCCTTCTTTGCTGCCCTCCTGCCTCTGAGACACTGAGCAGTTCCTTCCCTGCCCCTGGAACACAGAGCAGCTTCTTCCCTCCTTCCCTGCAGCCTCTTTCCCCCTGGAGCACAGAGCAGCTCCTTCCCTGCCCCTGGAACATGGAGCAGCTCCTTCCCCGCTCCTTGGAAATGGAGCAGCTCCTTCTCTCACACTGGGACACAGAGCAGCTTCTTCCCTGCAGCCTCCCTGGCCCATCAGCCCCAGGGCTCTTTCCTGGCTGTGCAGGCTGGGATCTGTTCCCATGGGATGCCCAACTCCTGAGCTTTGCCTTCCCTGCAGANTCCTGTGGCCACAGCCCAGCTTCTCCCCCCTGTTTTTGCCTCTCTGCCCCTGGGTTTGAAGCCCTGACCCACAGGGATCCTTTCCCAGTGCTGCCCTTGGAGTGCCAGGCCAGCCTGGCTTGCCAAGGACTGGCCCCAGCTCCAGCAGCTGCTGCCTCTGCCAGCTCCCAGCCAGCTGGGCTCCATCCAGGGCCATAGCCTAAAGGTGAAGCATTTGTTCCAGTTACCTGAGCCCTGCACTTCCTCCCAGACAGCCATTCCAGCCTCCCAGGATTTATGGTGGCCACAGGAGCGGGGCTGTCAGACCCTGCGTTATCTCAGGATGAGTTTTTTCCACACACACTCCTGGCAATCCCAGGGTGGTTTTGCCTCTTGCAGCCTGGGCTGTGCATCCTCCTCTTCTCTCTCTTCCCTTTTTCCAGCATGTTTGATCCTGCTGTTTCCTTTTTTCCCTCAGATTTCCTGGAGCACTGCTGTGAGCTGTGGGAAGGCAGCTGGAGGGAGAAGGGACCCCTCAGTGCTTTGCTTTTTAAATCCCCCCCAGCTCCTCACAGACCCTGGCAGCCCCCACAGGAAGATGTTCAGTGTGTTAGTGAAGGTTCCTGAGGAACATTTTTCCTGTGGTTTTCCATTTTTTTTTTTCCATTTTTTTCTCCCATTCCTCTGGAATCTGGATGAGGTGGGCAGGGACTGGTGGCACTGGCTGTGCTGAGCCAAGGATTTGGGTGTTGGAAATCCTCACTTAAAGGGGTTNTGCTGCCTTTGTATCTCCATGGGCTTTGGAGCCCCTTTTCCTACTACCATGGCATTAAAGCATGGAAATACATATTCTTTGATATAAATTAATATTAAATCTCATCCATTCCCACCCCTACCATGGCAGGGGGACACTTTCCACTATCCCAGCTTGCTCCAAGCTCCATCCAACCTGGCCTTGGGTACTTCCATGGATCTAGGGATGGTCACAGCTGCTCTGCTCCCCCTGTGCCAGGGATGATTTCTCTGATTTCCTGGGATTCTCAGGACAGGAGCAGGCTGTGACAAGCCCTCGGTGTGTCCTGCAGGTGGCCCATGTCCCCGGAGGATGAGCAAGCCCCCGGAGCTGCAGCACGACCTGGAACGAAGCCTCCCCGCCATCGCCTCCATCAGCTCCTCCCTCTCGCAGAGCCAGGGCTTTTCCCCTTATTTCCTCTCCCCGGAGAAGAGAAAAGCCATCTCAGATGTGAGGAGAACCTTCTGCCTCTTCGTCACCTTCGACCTGCTCTTCATCTCCCTGCTGTGGATCATCGAGCTCAATGTGAGTCGGAGGAAGCAAAGCCGGGAATCTTTGCCCTTTTTAAACTCGGTTCCCTGCGTTAATTGCTCTGTTCCAGCACTCCTGGGACGGATCTTTGTTTGCTGTTCCCAGCGCTGGCCAAGGAGCCGCTGTTCTTTAATATCAACTAAAGTCCAGCTCGTTTCCTGCCCCGGGGCTGCCCAGGGTTGTTAACACCTCCCTTTGTTGGGCTGTAACAGGATCCAGGGCCTCTGGAATCACCAAATTCCCCTCCTGCTCCCCTGGGTTCGCTGCTGCAGTGTTGTCAGAGCATCAGAGGAGCAGGGGAGGATCCTCCAGGGGCTTTGATCCCAAAATTCTGCTGCTAATCTCAGTTTTGGGAAGCTGGAGGTGCAGCTCCACCTCCCAAGGGACTGTTGAGGGGGCTGTGAGTGGTTTGCTTCTCTCCAAAGCAGCTCACAGGCTGCTCTGTTTGCTCTGTGTTGCAATAACAGGGCAAATCCAGTTTATTTACCTCAGTCCCACCAAGTCCAAATCCCTCCCTGGGCTATATTTTGTTTTGATTTCTCTCTGAACCGGCCCTGGCTGGTTTCAGGTACTCCATGTCCTCCCCTGGAACACCGAGATGAGCAGATAGAAAGAACCCCCTTGAGCTCTAGGGCTGCATTTTATCAGCACCGCATCCTGCTGCAGCTCTTATCTCTCTGCCCTCCTTATCTCTGCCTGTCTGCACTCAACACACTGCCCGGACCCTGCTCGGAGCCCCCCTGCTCCCCACCCCTTTTAGGAAAAACCATTTCCCAGCCAGCATTCCAGCCGTGCCGATGGTGTCCTGCCCGCCCCCTTTGGACCCCAGCCCCCTGCCCTTGTCCCGTTCCTGTCCCCGGGAGCTGCTGCAATTCCAGATTGCAGCCCCCAGGAGATAATCCTGGCTCGGTCACCAGGGTGATGCTGAGCGTGGGTGCCGCAGGTAGCCATTAATGAGTGACTAAGTGCTGATATTTGGGCCCCTGAGCTGAAATGCTGCATATTTAAATCCATTAGAGCAGCTTTGATATCATGACTAATGCCTTTTTTTTTCTTTTCTTTTTTTTTTTTTTGTTCCTTTTTATTATATCCTACCGTTTCCTTTTCGCTGGGAGATAAGCCCAGCAATTTGCCCCTCGTTAAAAGCAAACTGTAATTGTGCAGGCTGGGTGCTCTGAGATGCCTCAGGTGCTTCATCTGCCTGTGTTTGAGCTGAAAACACCCCTCAAAGTGCTTCATCCTTCCTGCAGCATCCTGGGGAGTCAGGATGTGGGGATGAGGCGCTTGGTGGTCACTCAGCAAAGCACAGCCCAGCTTCACCCCCCTCTTTTTGCCCCTTTGTTCTATATTTATATTTAGAAATATATTTATAATTTCTATTTTATCATTTCTATTTTATCATTTCTATTTTATAATTTCTATTTTATAATTTCTATTTTATATTTTTCTATTTATATTTATATATTTATATTATTATATTTATAGGTATATATATGATATTTATAGGTATATATTAGATATATATATTATATTAGGTATATATTAGGTGTATAGATAGGTATATATATTATGTATTTTATATATAGGTATATATTATATTATATTATATTATATTATATTATATTATATTATATTATATTATATTATATTATATTATATTATATTATATTATATTATANTGATGGATGTGGTTTTGGGGTGCTGGCACTGGCTGACAGGGTTTTGGGGTGCTGGCACTGGATTGGTGATGGTTTAGGGTGGTGGCACTGAGCTGTGGTGGCACAGGGCTGTGGTGGCACTGGGCTGACAGAGTTTTGGGGTGCTGGCACTGGATTGATGATGGTTTAGGGTGGTGGCACTGGGCTAATGGGGTTTTGGAGTGGTGGCACTGGGTTAATGGTGGTGGCACTGAGCTATGGTGGCACTGGGCTGTGGTGGCACAGGGCTGACAGAGTTTTGGGGTGCTGGCACTGGATTGAGATGGTTTAGGGTGGTGGCACTGAGCTGATGGGGTTTTGGGGTGCTGGCACTGGATTAATGGTGGTTTAGGGTGGTGGCACTGAGCTGTGGTGGCACTGGGCTGATGAAGTTTTGAGGTGGTGGCACTGGGCTGACAGGGTTTTGGGATGGTGGCACTGGATTGGTGATGGTTTAGGATGGTGGCACTGGGATGATGATGATGGCTCAGGGCTGCTGGTGGCACTGGGCTGTCACCTGGGGTGTCCACTGGGTGTGATCTGTCACCCAAAATGTCCCCTTGGGCTATGATCTGTCACTTGTGGTGTCCCCAGGGCTGTGATCTGTCACTTGGGGTGTCCCCTTGGGCTGTGATTTGTCACTTGGGGTGTCCCCTTGGGCTGTGATTTGTCACCCATGGTGTCCCCCAGGGCTGTGATTTCTCACTTGGGGTGTCCCCAGGCTGTATCTGCCTCACACAATGTCCCCTGGGCTATGATCTGTCACTCGAGGTGTCCCCAGGGCTGTGATCTGTCTCTTGGGGTGATTTGTCACTTGTGGTGTCCCCAGGGCTGTGATCTATCTCACACAATGTCCCCAGGCTGTGATCTGTCACTCAGGGTGTCCCCAGGGCTGTGTCTGTCACCCATGGTTTCCCCAGGCTGTGGTCTATCTCACACAATGTCCCCAGGGCTGTGTCTGTCCCTCATGGTGTCCCCAGGGCTGTGATCTATCTCACACAATGTCCCCAGGGCTGTGATTTGGTTGTTATCTGTCACTTGGGGTGTCCCCAGGGCTGTGTCTGTCACCCATGGTGTCCCCAGACTGTGATCTATCTCACACAGTGTCCCCAGGGCTGTTATCTGTCACTTGGGGTGTCCCCAGGCTGTGATCTATCTCACACAATGTCCCCAGGGCTGTGTGTCACCCATGGTGTCCCCAGGCTGTGATCTATCTCACACAATGTCCCCAGGGCTGTGNTCCAGGCAGGAAATGTGCCATGGGATCCTCCCTGGTGCTGTGCTGCCAGAGGAGCCCACACTGGATCTGTGGGACCATTTCTATTCCCTGACCTGGCCATAACCCCGAGCACTGCTCAGCTCCTTCTCCCATCAGTTTCTTACCAGCTTCCTGCTTCCTTGTCTCCCTCAGACCAAGGTGGGCATCAAGGAGAACCTGAAGGATGAAATCATCAACTACAAATTCAAGACTTCATTCTTTGATATCTTTGTGAGTATCTCAGCCTCCTGCAGAGCTCAGTGGGGCCGGGAGGCTCTGGCCTCTCGCCTTGCCCACCTCAGTGAGTGGCGCAGCTTTGACCCAGAGGTTGGCACCTGTCCCTGTGTCCCTGCCCTGCCAGCAGCTGGCAGAGGGCCAGGGGCAGTGCTGACTGGTGTTGCTGGGTGTTTGTTGTTGCAGCTCTTGGCTCTGTTTCGGTTTCTGGTGCTGCTCCTGGGCTACGCCGTGCTGCGCCTGCGCCACTGGTGGGTCATCGCGGTAAGGAGCCAGCCCAGCCTCTCCCCTGGGGCTTCTGCCTCTCCTCCTCGGCTTCTCAGGCATCTGAGCTCTGTCCACTTTCATTTTCAGGTCACCACACTGGTGTCCAGTGCCTTCCTGATTGTCAAGGTCATCCTCTCCGAGGTTGGTTTCCCTGAAAGTCGCGTTGTGATTTCTCAGTGATGTTTTATTCCCTGTTTGGGTCATTCCCTGGGGTTTTCTGTTCTTTCCACACAGCTTCTGACCAAAGGGGCTTTTGGGTATTTACTTCCCATTGTCTCATTTGTCATTGCTTGGCTGGAGACCTGGTTCCTGGATTTTAAAGTCCTAACTCAGGAAGCAGAAGAGGAACGATGTGAGTATTTTTGCTCCTCTCTGGGAAGAGTTGGACAAATCCAACCAGGCCTGTTCTGGCAGCACCTTGATCTGACATTTCTGGGAAAGGCTGGCAGGGATGGGAAGTGCCTGACTCAGATCTGTTATGGTCAACAAGTCCCTTCAGGGGTAGAAAATACCAGATTATAAAAAGCATCTTTTAATTGAGGGGAGAAAAATGTGCCAGATTTCCCAATGGCTGAATCCTGCAGCCAGACGTGCTGGAGAAAAAGTGTTTGGAAACAGGGAGGCAAATGCCAGGCAGAGTGTTGGATTCCCTGTCCCTGATATCTGTGTTTGGATCTGGCTGGAGCCCTTTCCAGAGGGGCTGCTGCAGTCCCAGACACATTCTGTGGCACGGGGTGAATGATGGGGTGTGAAATTCTGTGGTCTCTGAGGTCACACCGAGCAGAGATTGGGGCTGACCTCATGCTTCACACATCACCCTGCGGCTTCCAGGGTCCTTCTAGGGAGCTTTGTCCCTCTCTCAGGAGTCACTGGCTGGGAAGTGACACCAAACTTGAGAGGGACAACATTTGTCAGGCTGGGCTCAATCAGAAATGCTCTGACTGGAAAGCACCAGAGGATGTTTGGGTCTTGCAAGGAGGCTTTAAATTGAAAAATGATCAAGTGTTTAATGCCTCTATTGGATTAGGCTCAGGTTCCAAATTGCTTCCAGGGGAAGCTCTTATTTAATTAGATGCTTAATCGCCTTTGGATTATTTGACAGGCAGAAGAGCCCATTGATCTCCGGGGCAGATAAAACATCTCAGACAAAAGCTGAGGCAAACAGGAGCTGAGGCTGGCTGCTGTCAGTGGCAAAAGACATGGCAAAAACAAGAGGGTGTTTTGGCAGGGCTGGGGTCCCACAGCCTGCCAGGGGTTAAATCCCTGTGCTCCCATCCCCAGGGTTCCTGGCAGCCCAGGCTGCAGCCTCGAGGCCTCTGCTGTACCCCAGAGCCCTCTCCGAGGGACAGTTCTACTCCCCACCCGAGTCCTTTGCAGGTAAGGTCACCTGTGCCATCACCTCACTTCCCAAGCTCATCCCAGCATGGAATTCCTCACCTCCATCATCTCTGTCCAGAGCTCTGCCTCGTTATCCCAGCCTTGGCAGAGCCTGACACTGAAAAACAGGATCCCCTCTCAGTGCCTGCACCTGGGCAGGGGTGGCACTGCCACACTCTCCACGTGGCACCTTCATATTGGTGCCAGCCTGGGCTTGGGATTAAATGCTCTGAGCTGTGTGCTTGGAAATGCTGCCCTGGGGTGGGGATCAGGGCTGGTGGCACTGGAGAGCTCCTGGCGTGGCAGGGGGACATCTCAGTGGGATTGTCCTGCTGTGCCTGACCCCTGGGATGAGCTCAGCTCTCTGGAATAGGTGTCCCAGTGTAGCTGATACCCAGGATGAGCCCAGCTCTCTGGAATAGTTGTCCCAGTGTAGCTGATACCCAGGATGAGCCCAGCTCTCTGGAATAGTTGTCCCCGTGTAGCTGACCCCTGGGATGAGCTCAGCCTTCTGGAACACTTTTCCTGGTGTAAATGACACCCAGGATGAGCTCAGCCCTCTGGAACATTTTTATTTTTCCCAGTGTTGCTGACACCCAGGATGAGCCCAGCTCTCCAGAGCAGTTGTCCCAGTGTAGCTGACACAGGGATGAACTCAGCCCTCTGGAATACTTTTTTTGGTGTAGCTGACACTCAGGACAAGCTCAGCCCTCTGGAATAGT